CGCGTTCACCCGTTCACTCGTTCCGTCGCTCTTCACAGAGGAGTCGAACAAGAAGCACCCCTTCCCCTGCCCCACCACGTACCGCACGGCCCTGCTGCACTACCTGGACATCACCAACCCGCCGCGCACCAACGTGCTCTACGAGCTGGCGCAGTACGCGTCCGACCCCAAGGAGCAGGAGTTCCTGCGCCGCATGGCCTCCTCCGCCGTCGAGTGCAAGGTGGCTCCTCCTCCTCTGCCTCTCGCCGAGTTCCTGCCGCTCTTCCGATCCCGACCTTCCTCTTCCTGCTCAGATGGAGCCATCCCCCTCCCCTCCCTCCAATTCAACCACCCGTAACTCCTTCAGTGTTACTCCTCTTCTGGGTGAGCCATGTCTACTCCTCCTCTGATTGCATTCTATCCTAACCACTCTGATAATGATCGAGCCCGTCGCTCATTCTCTCCCAAGTGAACCGCTATCCGCGACGGTCGAGCGGCCGTGCCGGAGGGCGCGCCGAGTATCGGGCGACCCGGTGGACCGTTTGGTGACCCGCGGGAGAATGCCCCCGTGGAACATATTTACGTTGCTTTGGTAAAGTCTGGAGAGCCGAAGTGTAAATATTGAACCTCGAGGGACTGCAGCACTGCACCACAGCCGCCGTTTGAACGCGGACGGCGTGCGGGCGAGCACTGGCTTCATGGTCGGAGACTCGCCGAGCGGCGCCGGGCGGCGCCGGGCGTGGCACGCCTGCCGCTGCCCACGTGGTGATCGCGTGGCCGTCTCCGCGTGCAGACCCAGTACCAGAGCTGGGTGCTGGACGAGCGGCGGCACATCCTGGCCATCCTACAGGACCTCCCCTCCGTCAAGCCTCCCATCGACCACCTGTGCGAGCTGCTGCCACGACTGCAGGCACGCTACTACTCCATCGCCTCCTCGGCCAAGGTGAGGGCCCGCACGGCATCGCCGCCGCCCGGCGCGTGACGCGTTCACACGGCCCGCACGCACGCAGCCAGCGCGCGCGTGCGCGCCGCTCACCTTCGCGTGTCCCGCTCCTCGCCGGCACAGGTTTTCCCCGACAGCATCCACATCTGCGCCGTGCTGGTGGAGTACAAGACTCGCCTGGGGCGCACGAACCGCGGCGTGGCCACCAGCTGGCTGCAGGGGCGCTGCCCCTCGCAGAACGGGCACAAGCCCACGGTGCCCGCGTACGTGCGCAAGTCCCAGTTCCGGCTGCCGTACAAGCCCAGCTCGCCCATCATCATGATTGGGCCCGGCACGGGCCTCGCGCCCTTCCTGGGATTCATCCAGGAGCGCGAGTGGCAGAAGCAGCAAGGTTCGTGGTGCGGGGTCGCACTGTCACCGTTATTTAACCGTGCCGGCCTTCATAGGTGCTCGCTACAACAACACTTTCCCCAAAAAGTCTTGTCAGGGCTATAAGGGGGTGGGTGATGCTTTGTCTTTGTGTCAACACGTTGCACAGGCAAGGAGGTGGGAGAGACGGTTCTCTACTTCGGGTGCCGTAATCGCAGCACGGACTTCATCTACGAGGAGGAGCTCGAGGCCTTCAAGGAGAGGGGCGTCCTCACGCAGCTCCACGTGGCCTTCTCCCGCGACCAGGAGGAAAAGGTTCGAGAGGACTCCGTTCACTCGCCGTCTCGTTCAGAATATTTACTCTCGCCCGACTTGGCGACGTCACGATGATCGACGACGACAACAGCGGCCGTTTGCTAAGCACTCCGTGAATCCACTGCTGGATGAACGCCTCCCTCCATGCCCGATCTGTGGATTGTTGGGGGTTGGTTGTTTGACCATATTTCACCACGCTGGTCAGTGCGTGTTGGTGACGAAGGGAGGATGCCGAAGACCGGTTCAGACGCCTCTCACCTCAGATGCCAGCCGTGTTGGGGAATTGAGCTGCAGTTGCCGGGTTCGTAGCGTGGCGCGGCGACCACTGCGCCTTCGCTCGCCGTAGACATGTGTACGCCTGATAATGAAAGAATGAATCGTGTGAACACAAGCGTGTCTCACGACGAGCCCGATACGATGTTAGGAAGCGATGTCTTGTTTTGTGAACCCAGTTTTGTTGACCTTCCGTGCCCTTTGCGGCCTGCTGCACGCGTGCCCATCAGGTGTACGTCCAGCACCTGATCACAAAGAACAAGGAGAACATCTGGCAGCTTCTGCAAAGCAACGCACACATCTACGTTTGTGGGTACGTCACCCCAAAGACAAATATCTTCCGCGTGGGGAGACTAACAGACTATTGGGGCAAGTGTCACTCGGCCTCACACGAGTACGCGGTGCGATCTCTCAACGTCGTCACTGCGGAGACAAAGGTGGTCGGCCGTGATGCCGGCTACCCCCACCCCCTTGTGGGACGTGCTGGCCTTAAAGGCACTCGCTAACAGCACTTGCCCCAATAGTGTACGTTACCCCATACGTACACACGATCAAGCACACCACCTCACGCCACAAAAGAAACGTCTGGCCAAGTCGGTCTGAAGTTTTACACACAAATGGAGTGTGACTCGATCCCCTACTCACTGCCCCGAGCTGAGGAACTTCCTGTGGCAGAAGTCCAATTTCGGTCGACCAATTGCCAGGAATTCAGCGATTCAGATTTATATTTACTTGAATTGCATCCATTAACGAGTGCATATTCATAAAAAAAGAAAATGATTTGCTAATGTTACATCGGTAGCGACTTATTGAAGGGGTCGATGTGACCACAAGCAGGTATGTTTATATCGCCTCGGTTATCACGAGTGTGCAATATTCGTGCATTGTGAGCTCTGTTACACAGTCATAGATTACCCACAGAACTGGTTGTGTGTTGACGGAGCATCTCGATCGTGCGGCAGCGATCGTAGTGAGTTCCAGTTTGATGGAACCGCCGACGGCAAAGCTGCGAGCTCCAAATGTAGCCTGCCCGAGTGCGCGGAACAATCGAGTCTCCGTGAGCCTCTGGGAATCAGAAGCGGCGGAAATTACAAAAAAAATATTTTAATCAAGTGCATTGACAGTGGAGGCTGAGTCACGGCACGTGTCACCTTTGCCCCCCCACCCCCCCCCCCCCGATGCAGAGACGCCAAGAACATGGCACGGGACGTGCAGGCGGCCATCTCGGAGGTCGTGTCGGAGTGCGGCGGCCTAACGCAGCAGCAGGCCCTGGACTTTGTGAAGAAGCTGCAGACCAAGGGGCGCTACTCGAGCGACGTGTGGAGCTAAGCGCGGCGACGCAGCTCGGGACGAATTCCCCCCCCCGCCCCCGTTGAGGCGCGTGGAGCGGCAGAAGGGCGTTTAATTTGGAATTAACGATCGATCATCCAACTAATCTATCTGACCAGGCAGTCCCAATGGTTATGCTGTCAAGTTGACGTTTTGACAACTTATTCAATTGCCCAATCGCCATTCGGTACTCAAGGCGTCGGTGTTGTGTGGCTATAATTTTACGAGGTAAGCACCACCGTCGTCACACGCGATGTTTTTTTATCATTTGAAGTTTGGACTTTCCAGAATTTTATTGGCTGCAGGTGTTAAGTCGTAATCGTTTTTATTGTTGCTGAAATGCCTACGAAGCTCTCGAAAGCAAAACCTTTTTTTAACGAATCTTAGCAACCGTCACACCCCCCCCACCCCGACCCTTACGGCGAGGAAAATAAATTGGACGCGGCCGTTCTATGTCGTCCGGCTGGCAGAGGACAGGAGACGGCGCTCCGCTAACTCGGGAACCTCTCCCCCACCCCCTGCCAACTCATTCCCACACCCGCTGCCCCCAAACGGCGGCAGCATCAGCCCTCTCACGTGACGAGTGCCTTTTTAAAATGGTGTCTAAATTACTCACGCTCTCCTTTCGAAACGGGGCAATCTGCGTTTTGCGAGCAAAACCCCAATCGCGGAAACCCGCGTCGGCGCAATAGATCCGCGTGGTCGGCCGAACGAACGGGAAACGCAATGGCCGGGCGAGGTTTGTTTTAAGATGACGCGCGTGACTCGCAATCATGGCCAACGGATACCTAGCGCAATCGTTTGCTCTTTTGAAGCCCAACCTTTTAGAAGTTCCACGCAACCGGAATAAAAAAAATATTTTTTTAACGGAGCGAACGTATTCCACTGGTGGAGTCAACAACACAAGCAGTGCAACGGCAGAGGTGCGAACGCGTTCACGGTCGTGAGCGGCGGTAGCGTAGACGCCACCTTTGTGATATTTACAATGCTACAGAGCACTTTTGATCATTTGTCAGAGGGAATCCTGTTATAGCTTTGGTCTTTCATCGGTAACTGAAAATCGCATTTTATACAAAACTGGCAGTGCAATGTGTCGTATGTGTGTCAAGAATGAAGAGTAGCCGTTAAGTTTAGAGTCTGTAAATGCTGTGCTCAGGTCGGCGTGCGCTAAGATGAAAGGGAGAGCGGCAGCTGCTTATTCTAAGTCAATCTGTCGGCGGTTATTAATTATCGTATGCTCCTATCGGCTGTGGTTTTATTTTTGGACGGATTTACATGTACACTTTGTTTTAACGTTCCGCAAAAATTATTCTAATGTGAAATAAAGGTCTGTTTAACGAAACGGCTTCCGCGGGGGTTCCGTGCTCCTCGCTCGCGACGCGTCGGCTGCTCCAACCCAAACGACGCACCGCGAACTTCTGGGCACGTGACCAGAGCACCGTCACGTCAGTCAACCCCCCACGGCGTGCAAAACAAACGCTCGCCCACGTGGTGCCGTCAGCAGATGGCAGAGCAGCGACGCATTCGAATCTATCGTATGCCTGGATACTCCGGTTTCATCCCACATGTCAAACATTCACATATGGGATCGGCCAAATGTAGGACCCTCCTGAAAAAAAGTCAACCGAGGTGAGGCTTTCCTGGGTAAATAAAGGGCGTTACTATTATGACTGCTTTTAAATAATCTCTCCTGGTTATGCCGTATAATTACAGCCCGTGTAAGCGTGTGACAACACGCACGTTACTCGTGCATCCGCACTTAAAACATTTTAAAAACCGCACAACAAACAGATCCTGAGAAGAGGGTTGTAAATTTATTGTCCTTTATATAAAATGTACTATAATACACGGGGCAAATACTGCATGTTAAACAATACACAGCATATAAACATATGTACATTTAAAAAAAAACACGGGCAAAATAACGACAGGCCAAGACGCTGCCTTTTAGCGATCGGACAAAAAGGACAACAGAAGGGCAGAACGCAGGCAACCGAAACGGAGACGGCCTCTTCAGGCGCTCTCTCGAAACATCCACTCCCCGTGACAGCAGAGCCACGCGTGGCAGAAGAAAGGTTTGCCTTTACAAAAACGTAATAAAAATAAACCCCATCAGAAACAATACAGTACAATATGTACAAGAACTAAGGCTAAGGGCCAACTGGACCGGTGGGGGAACGAAAACTCGCCTGGGGTTCCCCGCTTTCCCCAAAGGCTCGTGGGATTCGTGTCCCCCCTAAATTGTCACGAGCGCCACTGCAGCCTCTTGCAGTCTAAGAAGTCATCACTTGAAGCAGGAGTGTCCGTCGGGAACAGCCTCCACGTGCCTAGCGAACGACTTGTACCGACGGCAGTGCAGGCGAGAGGTCTTTTGGCAGAGCGCGGCCCCCCCTCCCCCCAAGCTGCCACTTTTGCCATGGTTTTTAGATGGAAGCGACGGGCCAACTATCGGTGGCTGCTGGCGAACCTGCAGGAGTTACCTTATACTAGTCGGGAAATGAAATCCAAAATGCCCTGAGCACTGAAAATCAAACGATTCTGTTGAGCAATCACATTTGCCAGCTTCATGCCGTTGCGATTTTATTTTTTTTAACGACAGCGACACGGCAGATCGCGCAACGACGGGAGACGCGTGCACGGGCGCTCGCCGAAGGCGCCGTCGCACGAGTCGCCGAGTGCGACGGACGGTTGCCGCCGAGGTGCAGGTAGACACGGGACAAACGGCGGGGCGCTCGCCCCGCTCTCTATCGCCGCCGCCGCCGCCGCACGTCGTCAGTGTCTTCTGAGGTTGCTCAATTCGCTGACCTCCTCGCGTAAGTAAACTGTCACGGCGACCACATAAATAAGCGTGCGACTGACCGAGGAGGAACGGAGCACGTCACTTTGGTCACACGGGTGGGTGGTCGACAAGGACGTGAAGAAGATGGAACGCAACTCAACCACGCCTCCCCCCCCCGGCTCGCTTCGCCCGGCCACCTCTTTATTCTGCAGGCTTGTCCAGCAGCGAGGGGTCGCCGCGTCACCGACACCTCCCCCCACCTCGGCATTATTTTTCCAGGGCACGAAGAGACGGCGACCGATCATGGAAATGCCAGCTCGGGGCACTGAGCCGCTCCCGCGGGTGGGAACGCCGCCACGGGAAGGCGTAAATATCCACGCATGGCGCGCGACGCCCTCCCCCCCTCCCCCACGGGCAGGAGAGGTCCCCGGGACAGGAACCGGTGCCGGTGCCTGGTAGGGACGCCGACGCCGCTGCTTCCGCCACCGCCGGCGTTGGGCTCAGTTGAGCGTGCCGCGGCAGTGCTCTGCTCCGCACAGGCAGGGAATCTTGTTCTCCTCGATGGGGAATTTGTAGTCGTAGGTGATCTCCTCGTTTACGTTGATGGCTTGCTTGGAGTAGATCACGATCCTCTTTTGCGACTCCACCGTGATGACCTTGGCGTAGCAGTTTGGCTGTGGATCGGCAATGCAGAGTCAGGTACGGTGCCCACACGGCCACCCGCGTTGCCGTGATGACCTTTGGGTGTCATTTTGGCCGAGCAATGAGCAACTAAACAAAGGCGGCGTGTGTTACAAAGCAGTAGTCGGGCCTCTGCCACCCTCCCACACACGGCCTTTCTCAAGTTAAGCAGTGCAAGTTAAAAACGTTTATGACCATCTTTGACCACAATTTAAAGCAAAGGAAAAAAGTGAGCACGTGAGCGCTTCCTAAATTCTAAAAAAATGAAGTTTGACAAGTCTCCAAAAACCTTAAAATCATCGAGGATGCCGTTCTCTTCCCCTTCTCTTAATTTCGCAGGACTAATTATGGACGTAATAATCTGCAATGGCATAAGGCACTGTGCTATGAACGTGACGACCCGAGTTCTATTCCCAGCTACAGCCAACACCAGCGGCAAATTCACCGATCCTGGGCCATTCGTTTGGCGTGGTGACGTATGCTCAAAACAACCCCCATGACCGACAGCCCCAGGGGAAGGCCTTTGCCCAGCGGTGGACTGAGAAAGGGCCGCGATAATTTCACTCGCTCGTGCGGGCCAGAGCATACTCACGTTGCAGCTGTGGTTGATGAAGCGCGCCAGGTTTCCGACCTTGGTGGCGTCGATGATGGTGTCGTGGTCGACACGGAACAGGTAGCTGCTGCCGATGCCCTCCACCTCGTACCGCTTCTCCCGCATGTCGGCCACCAGCTGCGGAGCACGCGGAGCGTTCAACACATCTGCATCACCGTCGTCAAGCAACGATCGATTCACTGCCGGATAAAAGCCCCCCCCCCCACCAAATTGCCACCATCAACCACTCACGGTCCTACGATGTAGCAACCCATCCGGTACGTGCACACGGGATGATTTCATCGCTCAATCTCCGACGGTTGACGTCCTCTCGAGGGCGAGTTACCTCCTTCGGTTGCCACTCTGACGTTAAGTTTTTGACCGCCAACTGTAAAGTCCCTTCCAGCAACGCGTCCTGGCCTAGCCCAGTTGCTTTTCTTAACGAGTATACAAATCTCGTTAACCTGCGCATGTTATGTCATAACCGATTTATAACTGTAGAATCGAAGCATTGTTGGACACTAATAAACTGACAGACCTGCAGACTGCATCCCCGATATGGGACCATTCTGAAAAATAATTTAGCAACTTAGCGAGGCCTTCCTGGATAAACAAAACAGTCAAAAACCACACGCAGTAACGATCCAATTGTACTTTGTACTTATCGTAGATATCCTGCCAGAGCATCAACAACAAAGGGAGATTCGAGGATGCAACGCAAGAAGCTAACGCGCGCGCGGACACCCGGCGGTGAGCGTGGGCACGGCGAGGCTCGCACGGCGGTGAGCGTGGGCACGGCGAGGCTTACCTGTCGGATTCCCTGCCCCACGTACTCGATGACCATCTCCTCGGCAGCGATGGGCTCCAAGGCGAAGAGCCCCCACTCGTGGATCCGGCTCTTGGTGAAGCGCAGCTTCTTCTTGCGGAACTACCGGCGAGAACGACGCCGTTTTAACGCAAACAAATCCCCTTCCCCAAGCACCATCCTCTGGCTAACTCGGGGGTCGAGCAACCGAAATAACAAGAAGAGCCCTTTTTTACAAATTCGGTACAAAACTCAACGTGTCAAGAGCCGCAATGCACGTGAAGACATACGTCATACAGACGTATGTACATTACGTCACAAAGCAGTCTGTAAAGAGCCGCAAGTTGCCGGCCCCCTTCTTCACCGCAATCTCCAAACTCACAAATCTCTCCGTCTTGTACAGCAGGGGAGGGGGGCAATCTACGTTCCCGTGCGACTTAATTTCATCAGGCTTGCGGCCACGCTTCTGAATGATAATCATCCGTCACTGGAAGCGTCTTAGCCGCACGAGTCGGCTACTAGAGGGAAACGTTCTAGACTTGCCAATGCTGCGTTTGCAATTTTGGGACTAGTTTGGTGAAAGCCACCCACCCTACCCCTCTCCCCCCACCGTGGATGTCCAGGTGCTGCCCTGGCTGTCCCCGGCTGACCCGGGGACTCGATGTGGTTGTTGTCTTTGTTGTCGTTGTTGGTGCTGGGCCTTGGTTGCTACGTCCGGAGCTGTGCCACGCTGTTGTTCTCCTCTCTCTTGTATTTCCCTGCCCTAACGCCTCCCCCACAACCCCAACCCCCTTCGACCCGAATGTAGATTATTTGAGATGCTAAATACTATTCACCCATTGCTATCAGATCCCAGAAGCTAAGTAGGTCTGAGACTGTACAGTGTTTGGATAAGCGACCACCATGTATAAAGCACGTGTTGCAGGCCGCTATGGGGCAGCAGAGGGCGGTGCAGTCAAAAGAATGTACGCAAATTTAGAGTTTAAACACTTTGTGCAGAACCCAGCTACTCGCAAGCGTTAACAACAACTACATCCTGTGATCATATAACGCCCGTTTTGGCATCTTTACATTGCTTGCATGTGAAACACAGGAATGGTTTTAAGGTTCGGTTATGAACATACAAGGCCCTGAATGATCTGGCTCTCCACGTTGGGCCCAACAGATCCGCTTGCCATTCCGCACCCGACACGTCACCTCCGTTTGTCAGACTCTGGTCGACTGCTAGACCCCAACACGACTGCTGGACCCCAACACGAGGCTTGTCTCCACGGTTGGCAGTGCATTCTTTTCCTCCGCTCCAAGATCGGATTCATTGCCCAAGGCCATCGGAGATTCAGATACCAGCGGTATTTTTAAACTTCATCCTAATACTTATTTTTATTTACTGGCCTTTAAAATTGTGTTTTTTTTTCCTTTCACGGCTATTGTTTTGCATTTGCCTTTTTATTTGTTTTAGATTGCACAGCTTTGGGACGTTGGTGTTTGTTCAAGGCGCTGTACTAAAAATAAGTAATATTGTTATTGTTGGTTATCTAATTGTTGTACTGGATGTCTTAGCTCCCAGCCTTCACCAACAGCACTGACCGGCGTGGTGAAAGGTCAAATAATCCGCACGAGGTGGGGAGGAGGCCCTTATGCAGCACGTGACTGGGACATCGTTGTTGTTCTTGTCGAGGATGTAGGTGAGGTTTGGTGGGACTCTGCCCTGGACGTCTCACCTTGAGCTGGTTGAACTTGAAGACGTCGCTGTCGGCCAAAACGCCCCCGATGCTGCCGATGGAGGCGAGGAGTCGGCGCTGCTCCCACCGGCGCTCCGAGCCTGCCCGTGCTGCGCTGCTACCCCCCTGCTGTTGCTGCAGCTGCTGGTTCATGGCATTGGCGCCCTGCGCAAAGACAAAAAGGCAAAGATCCACCGTGCAGCATTTAACAGACTATTGGGAGCACCGACGAAGAAAGCACCGACGAAGAAACACACACACGTACGCGTGTGTGTGTGTGCGTTAAATATGACACATACACCACCATGCAGGCATGAACAGTGCCAACAAAATATTGAACAACACGCAGGACCAGGCATTCCAAGCACACGTGACACATGACGCAATCACGCAACAACGCACATGCCATGCAGAGTCCACGCACACACAACTGCTGGCAAGCGCGCGTATGCACACACGCACACGATCGCAAAGTAGGGCAACGCAGAGACAAGGAAGCACGCGGGCATGAAAATTAACGACCGTCTCAACGGGATGCAGAGCATTTGCCGAAACATAAAATGCCGCGAATAAATGTACAGCCCGCGGCTTTGAATAAACTCTCTGCGAGTTCAACGAAGAAATGTTCAAGTCCCGCACGCAGACACCGAAAGCCGCACGCGGACGAAGGCACGGCACGAGCGGGCGCCACACAAAGGCACGACGACGACGCGGCATGCGGCGGGGTTGGGGGCCGGGAGCTGCTCACCACGATGGCGCCCTCTGCCAGCTGCCACATCACAGTGCAGCAGCAGAGACACAGAAACCGCAGCATCACCGTAAAGAACACCCACCGGCTTCCGACAAAATCAACGCCGTCTCGCGCAACCGAGGACTAACGCAGAAACCACTTCGTTGTCAGAAGGGTTGGAGGCCTTGGTGGCCACAGGCTAACCGCGGTTTACCCCCATATGGACAGACTCGCTGAATACAAACAACACAATTCCAACAAAACACAAGTGACCACTATACCTACCACTCACACATCCCCCCCACCCCCCCCCCCTCCGGATCCTCGCGTTAATCTCATGGAGCTGCGCCCCTTTACAAAGAAGACCCACTCGCGCCGATTCCTTCCTGCACGTGGCTACATCATCTTGGGGCAAAAAAAGTCTTCCCCTCGTCCCCTTCCCGCCCCCCCCTCAACACTTCCCCACCGACTGGAGGCTGTTAGGGGCTGCTCCACCAACCTGAATCTGCGAGGGGCTCTCCTGGCTCTTGCCCTCGCGTTTCTCCTTGTGGCTGAGCTTGTAGAAGCCCTCGCAGCGCGCGCAGCCAGACAGGTGCTCGCGCGGGCTCTCCTCGTCGTCCTTCTTCTTCTTCTTGCCCTTCTTCTTGCGGCCGTCCGGCACGATGCTGGGTGCCACGGGGTCAAGGGTAACGACGCAGATCTCCGGCGACGGCCGGCAGGCACGCCGAGACGGGCAAGGCGCGAGCTTTGCACGTCACGCTCTCGAAACGTTTTTTTTTAAACCGGTTGTTGCTTTGAAAATGACCGTGACACACGAACCTCCCCCCCCCCCCCCATAACAGCACAAAATGCATTCAATGTGCCTTGGTGAAAATAGTAAAAACACATACACACACACACACACGGTTTGTACACAAATCTGATGTTATTTTTTTCCATGACGGATGGCTGGTTTTCTATTACGTGCTCGTACCTGTGCTCGGCTTTGACACGTCCATCGGGACGAACACGGTGACACCTCACGTTACAGACACCTGTGTTTCAGAAGCCATCTCGTGACAGGCAGATGCACGAATGAGCTGCTTCATCAACAAAGGCCAACCCCCCCCCCCCCGTGACCTGTAACAGACTGTTGGGTCGCAGCAGGAGTGCTGTCAGCGATCGCTTATTAAGCCAGCCATGGCACGCGAGTGCCTATGTTTACACACCACACGTTAGCCTTACATTCAACCTGCCCGCACTTCCAATTAGCACGGTTGGCGATTGGCACGGTTGGCTATGTATTGCGTGAAAGAAGTTCAATATATATGTATACGTGTCCAGGGAGGCCGAGGGCAGTTCATATATCCACCACGAACGTTAGCCATGGCTGGGAATGAAACTCGCATTACCACGTTCGTAGCGCGGTCTGCTCACCGCTACGCCACGGATCCACCCAATGTGCACGTGCCCGCACACACACACAGAAGCACTGCTGGTGAAGTCAAGGATATGGCAGTGCCAGACCCAGTGTGTTTCGTTGAGCCAGTCGGGCCCCCCCTCCTGCGTGAGCAGCTTGCTGTAGATCTCCTTCATGTAGAGGACGTCCTCCATGTCGATTCCGGCGCTCCAGATGTCGTAGAGGATGGCCATCTCCTCCAGCTCCGTGCGCTGCTTGTACAGAGCCAGCTTCTCTTCAAAGTCATCGTCGTCATCTTCGTCCTCCTCCTCATCCTCCTCACCGCCCACTTCCTCCACCTTTTCTTTCTCGGCGCGGTGGTCCAAGGCGGCGGCGGCGGCGGCGGCGATGGAAGGAGCGCCCCGAGCCCCCCGGTCCTCCGCCGTTTCCACGCTTTTGCTGTCTGCGGTTACGGCGGTGGCGGTGGTGGCGGCGCCATCCGTTTCCCGCTTGTGCCGCACCTCCCCGGGCTCGCGCTCGCGCCTCCCCTCTCTGTCACGGCCGCGCACCTCCCCCGGCTCCACGTCCACCATCACCTCTCCCGGCTCTGCGAGGAAGCGCAACGCGGAACGCGCGCACGGCCAGCGATTAAACCACCAAAACGCTGAAGCAAACTCGGCGCGCATACATTCGGGTCGTTTCCTGGCTATCTACTCCGGACGTAGACGCACGCATTACGATGCATTCAGTCAGGCACGAGCAGCAGCGAGCGGTGTGACGGAACGCATCGGTGGGCGAGCGTCAACGCATCTCTGGGCGAGGCAGAATGATTGGCGAGCGTGAACGACGGTGGGCGAGTGTAAGCTCGTCCGCTCACCTGGCTCGGTGTCGGTGATCTCCACCTCGTGCTCCACGTGGAGCTTGTGGATGTCGCTGTCCATGCGCTCGGTGAGGCGCCGGGCCCTCTCGTCGTTCTCCGAGCTCCCGTCCGGCGCCACCGGCGCCGCGGCCTCACCGCTCGGGGCTTTGCGCGCGGCGCATTCGCTGGGCGACGGCAGCTTCGCGTAGCTGTGCTCCACGTACAGCTGCTGCTGAACCAGAGACACCTCCTCTTCCTTCTCCTCCTCCTCCTCAAGCTCCAGCTGCATCAGCTCCTCCGCCTCGGACGTCGGTTCGAATGCCTCGCGGTCGCTTCCAGCCACCCGGGGCTTCATCGCCGTGAGCGCCACGTCGGCCAGAACGTCCAGGTCGCGGGTGGTCGCGGCCTGCCGACCGTCGCGATGCAGGGGCGAAGCCCAGTTGGCGAGCTCGAGCAGCGAGTTGGCGCTCAGGCGCTCCTTGCACCAAAGCCGCTCGTCCTCGCTCTCCACGGCGCCGACGCCACGGCCCGGCGTGGAGGGCGGGCCGTCCGACGACTTGGACGACTCCCACCCGGGAACGCCGTACACGTAGGGCGACTCGGAGGGGTCGCTGGGCGTCTGGTGGCGCCGCGGCCCGTCGTGGTGGTGGTGGTGGCCGCGGGATCGCCCGCGCGACCTCGCGTGGCCGTGCTCGGGGGGTGGCGACTTGACGAGCGCCGCGTGGTCCAGCGGGATTTGATGCTGGGGCGACGCGGCCGCAGTCGCGGCCGCCGGCTCCGCCGTCGGCGGAACGCAGGCGGCAGGGGAGGAGGCCGGTGCGGCGTCGACTTGCCGGACGTCTTTGGGACCGGGCGTCGTCGGCGCCAGCAGAGTGGACGTGGAAGATGCGGGAGAGGTGACGGTTTGCAGCGAGAAGTCCGAGTCGGAGAGCGCGGCGTGCGAGTCCCGGCCGGGCGTTCGCGGGAGGTCGCTGTCGGCGTCCTCCGCGGGCTGCGGTGGGGGCGGCGGGGGCGAAGGCGAGCGACGCTGCGTGCCGCCGCGTTTCCTCTTCACCGGGGTCTCCGGGCCCGAGTCGCTCTCCTCCGTTTTAGCGCTCGGCGGCGTCAGAGGGGTTCCGGCAGATTTGGGTGCTGCTGGAACCTGTGAAAAAGAAAACGAAACGATTTTTAAACAAAGTTGGTTGAGACACACGTTCGCACACACGCACATTCATACACACAGGTACATTCACACACACACAAGTACCAGGTGTGCAACGTTCGTACACAAACCCGATTGTTTATTTTCCATGACAGATGACTAGTTTTCTATTTAGAACACGCACCTGCACTCAGCGTTGACAAGTCCAATGGCATGAACACAGTGACGCCATCTCATCACAGGCAAATGTACGAATGAGCCGTTTCATATGCTGTGGTTGTTCACGGAGATCAGTCGAGTCTACCACTACCCTCAAAATACATTTTCAGCTTAAGAGCTCGTAAATGCGCCGCACGAAGAAATCCCTAAACCACCACCCCGAGATCTACGCAGACCGTAACCACAGATCATGCACAACTGACAGCTAGAGATGCCTGGTAAACAGGAGGCCGCTAGTATAGCACTGGTGTCAAAGGAGCTCCACACCCTTTCAGTCTTTAAACAAGGGCATTTTTTATTCTGGTCATAGAATATTTCAGGTCTTCGGTGACTGACTGCCACATGGTAGACTTACCGAGTACTTGAGTATCATGAGAATGAACGAGGTCTGCAGATGCACACTTCAATTGAGATTTAGAGAAATCAGAAAATTGGATTATTGCCATGGCCATGATGTTCCATGACCGTGGGAACTTTGTAGTCGAGTGTTCATCATTGCAAGGCCCAGGGGCCACTAGGGGCCGCTGGTGGCCTTTAGTGCGGCCCCTGACGTGCGGCCCCTGAGAATACACAACATGTGAAAACACTCTCCATGGTGGCGTCAAGCCCAATGATTTTTAAATGTGTGGTGGCCCTCACACTGATGATGTCTTATCGGCGAAAGTGCCCCCCGCCGCCCCCTCTGAAAAGAAGTGGATTAACACTGATGTAGATGCTGGACGCTGTATCAGCGGTACAACCCTACATCACCGACCTGGAACGGACTGTCCGGTGCCGTGTCGACAGGTGCCGTTTCTTCTGGTACCTCCTCAGTCTTCTTGCTCGCCTCAGCAGCAGGTTTCGGCACTGAGAGAGAAACGCTGACCGTCACGACGCGCCCTGGCGGACAGACACGAACCGCAGCAGGCAGCGCGGTAGATTTAGCCGCCACCCAAGATACAACGCAGATGCAGCGATGCGACGCGGCTCGCAGTAATTGTTAATAAACGTATGGAAGAGCAACGGCAAACGACTTCCAAAAGACGGGGGCGACATGCCGTAGCGCCACGTGGAGCAGAGCGCAAACCTGCAACAGCAGCGGCCGTGTCGCCCTCCTTCACGCCGACTTCCACCTCCTCCACGCCGGCGTCCACTTTCACCACCGAGGCCTTGTTGACCGTCGGCACTTTGAAAACGTCTTTCCCATCGTCGGCCGCCTCTTCCACCTCTTCGTCCGAAGAGGAGCTGCTCTCGTACTCTGAGGAAGACCCGTCTTCGCTCTCGGACGACGAGGAAGACGACGATGACGACGATGATGACGATGACGACGACGACGACGAGGACGACGACCCTGACCCCTTGACCGAGGCGGTGCTCGAGGCCTCTTCAGCTGGCGAAGGAGAAAACACGTATTTATAAACATCACGATAGAAAAGCCTTTGTCTTTTGACTGCGTGTGCATTCACGTGCGAAACGTTCAACTCGTTTGTGTGTTTAGGGAAAAAAGGGTTAAAAACGTTACCGTTAGAATCGTCGTCCGAATCGCGGGAAGATTCCTCGGACTCCTGCAACAATAAAGCGCAGTCACTCATATATATAGCATTCTGATCTCTGGGTCACAATTTTACAGGTGTCAAAATACCACGTCTCTTGGGAGCCAGCCAGGGCTGCGTGCCAGGATCTTACGGTGACCAGGAAACCGCCCGTCAACCGTGCCGACAGGGCCCACCTTGTCGGAGCTCTCCTCCTCTCCCTCGCTGTCCAGGTCCAGGGAGCGCGCGCGTTTCTGCCGCTGCTTGGCGGGGGGCTTGTCCCGCTTAATGGGGGGCAGCGCGGCTTCCTTGCCCTGCTCCGACTCTGTGGGAGAGGAGGGTCGGCATCAGCACGAGCGGGCGCCAAACGCGTCGCACGTGCGGCACCTTTGGTCGGTCCCGCGGGGGTCACGGGGGGTTAACTTGACCTATTTCACCGAGCTGATCGGTGCGGGTTATCGAAGGTGGGAAGCGTAGAGCGTGGAAGCGTGCCGACAATGTAGCCGCGCAGCAATCTACACCTCCCGAATGGTGGTCAAGTTTCACATTTTAAGTTTATTTTGTTTAACCAGGCGAGAACTCGGGCCTCATTGTCAGCAGCGACCTGGGTCACCACAACGACAAAAGCCACGAAGCCAACAGAGAGATCAGAGCGCAAATCACCGTTTCACCGATCAAACCACTACCCAGGTTCCAACCACCTTAGCTTGAGGTCGGATGTGATCCGGAGCTTTCTGGGCGATTTGATCATAGCCCAGTGCAAAATAGCAGAAGAAAAAGAGAAAGCAGCTGGAGTGATGCGCAAGAGGGAAGGAGGGCCACACCTGGCCACCGCTCCGGAAACTCCGGTTACAATTATGAAACGGTGGCTATCGCGGCGGCAACTTTGACAAACGGCGGTGGCGCGGTTGACCGTGTGAGGTGCTGCTCTCCCCGCTGCCAGTGGGTGAGCCAACCGACCTTCCTCGTAGTCGTAAGCTGGAGTGGAGGGCCTCATTCTCTTCGGGTCACTCATGGAGTCGCCCTCAGGTGGGTCTTTCCTCTTAACCTACACGCAAAAAAACAGACAGCATGGCAATGAGGAACACAACTTCTTTAATTTACAAATAAAAATTACAAAAAACACAGAATGGGGTTCGGGTTCACGGTTGGGGTTCAGGGTTTGGATATAGAGTTTAAGAGTAGGGTTTAGAGAGCAGGGGTCGGCAACGAAAATTACAAAAATGTTTTTTTTCAAATTCGGTAAGAAATTGAATATTTCAAGAGCAGTAATCTATCAGAATAAAAGATGGTGGTCCTTAATAAAGAACGTCCCGAAGCAGTCCTTAAAGAGCCGCATGCAGCTCCGGAGCCACAGGTTGCCGACCCCTGGTTTAGAGGGGTTGGGTTCTCGGTTCTGATTCTGAGAGGGTATTTCACAGCACAACCTGCCTCTGCATTTACCATCGTTTCCTACCTCCCCACACCACCCCTATCACCCTCACCCGAGTGACCTCGTGGCTTCCTCACACCCCTGCCGACCGGCCCGTCGGCTCTGCGCTGCTCACCTTGAAGGACGGCATGTGGAGACCACGGAAACCCATGGCCATGCCAAGGCCCTCCACGCCGAAGGGCCCCCCCTTGGCCAGGCTGTCGTACAACATCTCCTTGGGCCTCGGTCGTTCCTCGTCCCTCATCTGGCCTTGGGCCAGGGACGGCTGTTCGCTCTGCAACACGACACGTACGCGAATCTGAATAAGCGCATTGTCCTCAAAGGCTCCGAGAATGAGAAATGTGACACTGCCGAGCACGGCGTTTCTCGGTAGTGCGTACACTCTTACATACGTTGACACAAACCAAAACCATGACTCTCATATGCGCCCAATGTGGGCTCACATTAAATCACCGATTGGTGGATGAGCGCGTTGTGCCCGATTGCAAACATTAGAATCCGGCTTCATTGGGTGCGACAGTGCGCAACCAAACCGCATCGACTGCACGGTGAAATAATGACGCAGCGTTGATTGTGTCGCAATCGATCTCTCGTGATAGCATCTACCCATTGATTGCACTGAAATTGCAGTGTATCTAGGCCTTAGCTCTATCCCTAACCCGCATTTGTGCCAAATAAATTAAAACCATTTTCCCTCACCAAACCCTTTTCCATACATGATTACGCCACGCGCATTAACACGCAGCATGTCCAGGAAATTACTCAATTGGAACAGTTTGCATAGCAATCATCGCCCCCTACTGCGAAACTGTGCAGGACCCTCCTGAAAAAGTCACGAGACTCAATGAGCCCTTCCTAGGTAAACAACTGCTGCCACTCAGAATTTCAAAAAACAATTCTGAGTGGCAGCAGCAGCAGTAATGTTGAGAGTAACGGCGCTTTTCATGAGAGCGCAAGCTCATAGACTGCCGCGCCGCCTCCCGCACCTTGGCCTTGCTTTCTCGCAGGTCCCACCACAGGTCAAAGGTCTTGAAGGCCACCATCTCCACCATCTTGCGAACGATGTCACGCGTCATGATGTTCTTCATCTCGAGCACCAACGTGCTCAACACCTCCTCTACGGTCAGGCGGTGAGGCTCCTCGAAGTCCATCGAGTTGGGGTCAAAGGTCGGCAGGCGGAAGGACCCAAAATTGAATTCAGACTCCCCGGCTGCGGGGCCGCCACTGTTCCCTGCACTCCTCGCGGTACTCCCGCCATCGTAGTGCTGGAAGGGGAAGCCTGCATTGATGCACACACGCACACACGCATGAACGCACACACGCACGGGAAAGAGAGATGTACTATCATCCTGCGACGTCCATCATCCTTCTTCACCATGTTCTTCTCACCCACCAGCTTCACAACTAAAGTGTGGCACAACAATCAGAAAACAAACATACCACTGAAAAAAATGGTTCACAGGAAAGTCAATTTAAAAGCGTGCGAGATCATACGTGAAAATCGTTACAGCTATGCACTTCAAGCAAACAAGACGCACAGGTTATGGATTATGAAATAAGCACAAGCTGCACTCCACGATGAGGTCATCTACTACAGCAATTCAAAAAGGTTAACGTAATGCGGTCGCTATTGCTCAGCAACATGCAGAGTGCAACATCTACTTCAACATCTACTTCAGCATTAGATGAGGTCATCTACTACAGCAAGTCAACAAGGTTAACGTAATGTAGTCGCTATTGCTCCGCAACATGCAGAGTGCAACATCTACTTCAGCATTAGCCACACAACGGCTATACATACATATCGACAGCACAGACAGGAAGCACAGGTCAACGTACCGGCAGGACCATCATCCGCGCCGGCGCCTTGGTACATGAATCCTTGCCCCTGTCCCGAGTAGACGGCGTCGCGCACCATGTCCACCACCAACTCGGCCATGTCGGCCGGCAGCGCCGAGAAGGGCGTGTGATGCTGCTCGCTCACCAGGAAGGGCAGCCGATCGTGCAGCGCGTACAGCACGCGGCTCACCACCTGCGTCTGCGCCGCGTAGGGCACGGGCGGGGCCCCCAGCCGCGCCAGCGCCCCGCTTATCAGCTCCATGACGCCGTAAAACTCGGAGGGCTGCGCCAGCGGGGCCGAAACGGCGCCCGCCACGTGCACGGGGTGCGGCGGCGGAGGCATGGGGGGCAGCGGCGGGATGTGCACCGAGTAGGCGGCACCCGGAGGCGGTGGAGGCGGCTGCTGCGGCACGTAGCCCGGCAGGGGCGGCACCGGCATGCCCGGCATAGCGGAAGGGATGGGCAGGGGAGGCAGCATGGACGCCGCCGGGCCCCGTGATGGCAGCGGCAGGGAGATGCCCGTCCCGTGGCCGCCGTGCTCTGCCAGCGGGGACGCCTCGCCGTCCGAAATCTCCATGTCATCACCAGATTGCTGCCCGGACTGGCCAAGGTGAATATTCCCATCACAATCATCATTGTCATCATCAATCAAATCACAAAAATACTACTTCATTAGATTGCATGCATAACATTTAAATTCCTACTCTACACTGATGCATGCGTTAACTAGTCTATGCAATGACACATGCCTTAAATACATTGTGAAGAAAACAAAAATGCCGATAGGAAATTACTGCCACGTACGTCCATGTGGTTGGTGGGCGTGCCGATTTCTACGGTGATGCCTGTGATGTCGCTTGCCAGCATGACATCGCCGGGCTCCTGCATGGTCACCAGATATTCTTCCTGGTGCTGCGTCGCCCCTACTGCCAGCTTGGCCACAGAGCCGTCCGAATAGAGTTGCTGCTTTGCACTTTCCTCATCATCGTCCGAATCAGACGTGGCCTGCAGGAAAGAAAACTTGTCACGCTGTTCCCTGAGCAGCATGGCGATGCGCGAGTCCAGGCTCGACTGCTGCTCGTCAACCACTGCCTCCTCGCGCTTCGCCGGGCTTTCCTGCTCCGCCGGCGGAGGCTCCGGCGGTTGAGTTTGCGGTGGTGGAGGCAGCAGGGGCTGGTGGTGGACAGAAGTGCTAGCGTTCTGGGCATCGACGCCGCAGCCAACGCCGTCAACGGCCAACGCGGCGTCCGGCACAATTTCAGGAGACGTCGATTTGCTCGGCGACTCGGACTCGCCGGAAACGAGGGGAGCGGTTGCCGGCACGCTGGCGGGGGGCACCGATGTGGGTGTCTGTGTCCTCTCGGGGCTGTAGAATCCGGGCGGGGGCCCCGTGTTGCTGTAGTAGTCGGAGCCGCCGCCCCGGTGTCCCGTCTCACCCAAGTGGTAACTGTCCGGCTCGGGTTGCGCGGGCGGAGGCGCTTGGAACTCCTGCTCTGCCGGGGGCAGCATGAACGGAGGCGGAGGGATCTCGGGGTAAGGAGGGAAGGCTGGCGAGAAGAGGGGAGGCGGTGGTGGGAAGTCGGGTGGATAGCCAGCGCCCTCCAGTGGAAACTGCTTGGCGTACGGCGGAGGGTAAGGTGGCTCGGGGGCCATGAAATGCATGGGCGGCGGCGGGGGAGGCGGCGGCGGCGGGTAGTGCGGCTCTTGTCTCACGCCGTACGTGTCCGTGTACGGGCCGTCGTGCCTCCGCGAATTAAAGCCAGCCGGTTCCAGAGGCAGGGGCGGATAGGAAAACACAGGCGTTCCCTGCAAAGACAAGAGAAAGCTCATCTCCGTCCGGCACCCAGCCAAAGCCACTATGTCTCGGCTCCAAATCTACGTCCCTGTTGCTCTGACACCAATGCATCCCAACAACGATGTCATTGAACACGAGTTGTTCTAGTTCTTAGTTTACCGTACATTCTGGTGAACACAATGTTATTGGTTGTCTTAGAAAGTTTTTTTTTGTGTTGGCGCCAATTATGTTGTTATACTTGTGCGAGGTGCGATGCCTGAAGCAATAGATGACGATGGTGATGATATGCGAGTCTACAGCTGTGCTACGGGTCTCTGTGGGAGTTTTCAGATCTCTCTAGAATGGTGTCACTGTACATTAGTTGTTCTACGTGTTAGTTTACTCTCAACACCCGCTTGGAGTCTTGTTTTATACTTCTAACTAGCGGGAAGCACCCGGCATTGCCCGGGGGGAATATATATTGAAAAACTTCTCAAAACTTAAAAACATAACATATACGAATGAAAAAAAAAACTTTGATCATTACCTCCTTAATAAAAATTTAAATAAAGCCCAACGCGCGGTGGAAAAAAAACTTACGCTCGCGCGCCAAGATTCAATTCTTTAGATCGCGCAAAGGAATCGAAGGTTGTAGATTGCTTTAGAATCGGCCTATTCCCGTTTAATCGATACCACAAACGCTACCAGATATCGATTCTCGCCACACACTTCATGGTCATCCCCCCCCCCCCTAAAATACAAAAGTAAATGTTTATACGTTTTACATTGTGTACAGTATGGGAGCTAGCCGCATGGCTAATTAAAAGTTTGTTACATATTTCCCCCCCCCCCCCAGCCGCGCATTTGTGCGGGATACACGGCCTACGCGGAGGGTTGGGGGGGGATGCGTGACGTCAGCAGGCACATGCGTCACGCTGCCACATGCGGGTGACATGACAGAGATGTGACGTCACCGCTCACTTGCGTGCAAAATGTATCCCCCCCCCCCCCCAAAAAAAAATACTAAAGTCTATTTTTATAATTTTTGCATGGTGTACAGTCTGGAAAGTACCCACATGGCAAATTTAAAGTTTGTTGCATATCGGGAAGTATGCTAAACATTTTGAAGACACATTCACAAAATTCCCTTTTATATATATAGGTAAGTGACGACGATGATGATGACAGTGGCGTAGAGCGAGAACCGGCAACACCGACGCCTCACCTGTGGCGCGGTGGGGTAGGGCGAGTCCTGGGTGTACGGCGTTCCGGGGCCCTGCCGCGGCGTACTCTGCGTGGACGAGGAGTGCGGCGTGAAGGGCGGAGCGAACGAGCCGGACCCCGAGCCTGCGTAGCCGGTGTCCTGAGAGTACGGCGTGCCGGAACGCGCCGTCGGGGATGGGCCGGCCGTGCTCGTTTCGGACGTGCGCCGGATTCGTGGATCGTTAGCCTTGGGGAGGGGGGGTAATGTCGCAAAATGAAATTAGGGTGGGGAGTGAACCTGGCTTTTGTTATTTTACCACTGTAGCAGTGCCTGCCAGCTGCTCCAACTGCAATGCCATTGCTCTGACTGATGTTCAGCTGTGATACGTACATGTAGAGATTCAGAATCGGAACCTCTATTTAGACTGCTGGATGAGGGATTCCCCACAGTGTGCGGGTCATGGGCGTTATTTGACCGTACTTTACCGTGCTGATTCGTGACAGCGAGCCGCAAAGAAATGGGAGCATAGTAGTTTATAAAAAGGAATGGATTTTCCACGACCGTGCTCTGCTGCCCACAGCTTAGGCCCTATTTTATACTTGGTGGTCGCCCATCCAAGCACTATCCAGGCTCAACGTTGCTTAGGTGGGTGGACAATTAAAGCGGTGTGCTGTGCGCCGCAGAACAACCTGTCACGGTGTTCTTCACTTTGCTCACCTGTATGGGCTCTGGGATGGGAGGTGGAAACATCTCCAAGCGTGGCCGGCTCCCAGTGGGAACCGACTGCGGCGTGAACTGGCCACTCACAATCAGATCGTAGTACTTTTTCCTCTGCTCGCCTGCAGGACACGCGCAGAAAACGATTTATTTTATACAGCAGCAACGGTGGTGTTTACAGTCTAACAGCGGCAGTCCACTCTGTAATTTCTACGTCTAAACACCAATAAATACACAAAACATGTATTTGAATATGCCCAGGTTCTGTGTTGTCCAAATTTCGGGGGCCTCATTTATACGCTATACAAATCTAAACTGTATTGTACAAATATTTGAAACAGGCATTCTCAAGCATCCAGATAATATTTCTTAGCTATCTTTGTAACTTTTACTGTAAACATTTCAAAACAACTTTTATGGATTTACATAGCAATCTCAATGCAACCGCGACTTAAGAGGCTTTGTGAAATAAAAAAAAACACTGCATCGGGGTGGAAAGGCAGGGGAGTAAGGGCAGAGAAACAGAATCAGAGCCTTTATTTAGACTGGAGGAATCCGATGAGCTATGCAGCTCTTTTTCACAGATGTCCAGTATGGGTAGCTCATCAGAGCAATGTGTGAGAACCCCACGGACACGGCGTTGCGCACTGGCCTTTGATGTCGAGCTGCGCGTGGATGATGCTGCCCATGACGGAGGTGTTGTGCAGGTTCTTGACGGCCTCCTTGGCGCCGCGCACCGTGGTGAACACCACCTTGGCAAGGCCCAGGTGCTTCCTGTTCTTGGGGTTGTAGACGATCTCCACCTCCTCCACGTCCCCAAAGCGCTTACACATCTCGACCAGAAAACTCTCCTTCACATTGTCGTTGAGCTTCACGAACGTCACCTCCTTAGGCGGGATCTGTCCTACGTAATGCTCATCGATCTGGAACAAACGACAACGGACGGACGTTTGTTAACAACGCTTTAAAACGTACATTTTATACAACACGCGCTGTACCGGGCACTGTTACATAAACTACAGTATATATTGGGACTGAAATCGTCTATCCACAGGCCTTTGCCAATCTACTGCTAACTGAAGGTCTCTCCCATGCCATGTTGGTCATAGGAGTTCTTTGCCTAGAAGTCACAACACTTTCAGTGTGGGTTGAAGGCGGGAAGCATAAACGCGGGGGGCGTAGAACGTACAGTACAACAATGGATTTGGCTGCACCGCCATATCGTCAAAAACGTGGCCCTGCAGCAACCTATGACCAACTAGCGTGTGTGATGGTCACCCGTACGAGCACAGGTCGCATATCCAGAATGCATGCTGCTTAGCTTTCGATATCTGACAAGTTCGGCTGAATTCTAGGTGATTTGGTGATATGCATGAATGGTGGGTCCACGAGTCTCTGCATGTGAAATGCTTGGCGTTTATTTCCTTGGCGCTTTTATTTTGCTTCAGAGTGATGGAGCGCAGCACCTTGAATTTGGGGACGGGGAGGTCGATCTCTCTTGTCCGCGCCCAGAACCGCTTGTGCCGCGGATCGCGAACTCTGTCCACAGCCGGGAATCCCGCATTCTGCACGCAACCACAAGTCGGAGCTTTGAATGTTTGCACCACGCACAGTCTTGTACCGACAGCCCTGCAATCTCGGCGAATGCCGCTTACACTTTAACAGTGCTGTCTTCATGTGTCTGACAGCAGTTAAAAGTCAGAGTGTATCCCTGCTGAGCAATGGAAGGCGCTCGTATATCTCCAACGGCGGTCACGAGCCAGCGATGGAAATTCCACATTTCTATGGCGGCGATCAGTTCCTCCACCGCTTACCACAATAAGCAGTTGTCATTTTGTGGTCTCTCTAAAAAGACTGCGATGATGGTCGGTTTAAACCAACCACTGAACGGTCTGTCACTAGCACCACCAGGGCTGGACAGCAACGCCGCCGTAATAAAAACACACAATACCGTCACCGCCATCAATGATTAAGACGCCGCCCAGAACGTGGCAACATCTCCCGCCGAGGCATCTCCTCCCACCGTGAACTCGACCCGATGGGTTCAATTCACAACCTCCGAGGGAGGTTCCCACCTCAAAGGGTGGCACCCAAAACCAACGTCGTCACCACCGCCGCCGCCCAAACCCCCAACCGCTGCCGCTACACTCACGGGTAGCGAGAAGGTGGCGCCGTCGTATCGGTAGACCTTCTGGTGGCCCTTCTTGAGGGCCGGGTCCACCAGGAGCTTGTATCCTTTCCACTGCTGCTGGCCCGCCGGGTGCGAGGCCGCCGGCGCTGAGCCTCGCCTTTCGCCGCTCGCCGAGCCGTGATCCATCTCTGCCGCGAGTGCTCACTCACACCTGTCGCCGTGACAGTGGGCACGCGAGAGAGACAGGGACGGCGGGGGGGGTGCAGACGGCGAAGTGTTTATGAGTTTAGTTGTTTAGGAAGGACAAGGGGACGCGGGCAACCCCGCGGGAAGAAACCCACACCCCTAAGGACTCGCGTGACTGCGCGTGTCCCTGTCAACACCCCGGGAGACTCCGTGACACTGCGTGAGACAAGGGACCTCCCCCCCCTCCGCGAGACACCGATAGAACCAGCGAGGTGTGACGCACGGAGACCCCGGTGAGACCGCCACGAGAAGACGCGGCGGGACCGCGTGACGCACCGCTAGGGTGCCGAGAGCGACTCGGGGGTACAGGCACCCCGGGAAGACTCCCGTGACACCGCGCGAGACAAAAGAGTTTCCCCTCAAGACGCCGCGCGATCCTCTCGGAGACGGCGACGGCGCACCGGAACCGTGACGGCGCGGAGTCCCCGCGACTCGCCCCGCGGCCCCTCCGGCCGCGCGCAAGGGGCCCGCGGCCGCCCCCTATCCGAGCGGAGGAGCCTCGAGGCGGGCGGACGCTCGGGCGGGCGGGTAGGCGGGAGCCCTCGGGATAGGCCTCGCTCGCCGTCGCACTCACCCGGGGCGGCGCCGGAGGCATCGCGACGGTTGCCGCGCGTGGCGAGCAGGAGGAGGAGAGGCAGGGCCGCTGTGACGGGGCCCTGCGTGGGGGGTGGTGGGCCGAGACCCGGAGCCGGGAGCCGAGGCCGGGGTCGGGGGGGGCCTCCTCCTCCTCCTCTGCTCCTTCTGCCGCTCAGGCCGCGCCTCCCGACGTGCACCGCGAGAGCGCGCGCCTCGCCTACGGAGGCCCGCGGCGGAACGCGATTGCGAAATGGAGCGGCGAGGACTTCCACCACCCACCCGCCCGCTCGCCCGCTCGCACCTCCTTTAACTTTCACAACTAAGGGGGTTGTTGTTGTTGTTTTGGGGGGTGGGAGCGTTAGATCGCGTGGATATAAATGCGGTGTCGTTAAAAGCCGCCGCCAGCTCGCGACACAGCCGATTAGCAAGGGGGTTGTCACGGACACGGAATGTTCCAAATTCGTGACGGCGCTAACCGGTTTGTGTGTTGGAGAGCAAGTCCACAACATCCACAACATGAGCAATGCACAACATTTACATTCTCGATTGTAAATGTACTCAGATTTACAATCTCAATCGTTAAATGTGCTCGGATTGTAATGTTGCGGATTAATAAGAGTTTGTAAATGTGGGTTTACTTTCCAACACAATCGGTGTGCCGTGTACTGTTACGTTTTGTATGTTCTGTTTACGTGAGAAACCTTACTAATTTTGGCTGCGTCGGGTGGTGGCGGGTTTAACGACACCACATTTAAATATTTACGCGATCTCACCCAAAAAAAACCCCGATCTATTATCAATGCTATTGGTCGCGAAAGCCTCCGAACTCTGTGTTAAACCAGTTCAACTCGTTCGCTTTCTCCGCTCCTCCTCGATCACAACGCTCCAATGATCCCGTCACAGACGAAGATTTGTCAAACGCCGCGTACCACCACCACCACCAGGAGCAGCTGGCCGCCGGCAAACAAAGCGAACTCTGGGCCGGCTCCAAAGCATCGTGTGTCTCTCTAGCAGGCAGAAGCAGCAGCAGCTGCCTCAATGACAGACAGTCGGCCTTCGAGCGATGAGCTCATTCAACTTTGACGAATACAAGTGCAGTTGATGATTTGTTCGCGCCGACGTTCACGGGAATCCGTCCACGTGCTCGTGAGATCGAGGCGCGTTAATGCCACGTTGCGTTAAAAGTCCCCCGGCGAAAGCGCCGCGGGTGTGTAGCGGGAAACGGAATCGCCGAGATTGTTTGATTTTGATGCCATGGTGTTTGATTTTAAACGATATACGTTCGGCTTTTACCTCATGACTGCGTATGGAAATAAAAAAAATGTTAGAAATTATACGTGTTGGGGAATGATGCGTGTCGGTGGAGCAATTATACATTGAACGTTGTTCAAGACACTTGTCAAACGTGAACATTTTCTAAGTCATGCAAATGAGACCACAAGTACCGTATGCGTCATGTGCGAATATCGCATAGTGTACATAAATAGCATAGCAACACGTGTACCTGTGTGTAACCATAGCAACACGTGTACCTGTGCGTAACCAGAGCAACACGTGTACCTGTGTGTAACCATAGCGACACGTGTACCTGTGTGTACCATAGCAACACGTGTACCTGTGTGTAACCATAGCGACACGTGTACCTGTGTGTAACCATAGCGACACGTGTACCTGTGTGCACTATAGCAACACGTGTACCTGTGTGTACCATAGCAACACGTGTACCTGTGTGTACCATGGCAACACGTGTACCTGTGTGTAACCATAGCAACACGTGTACCTGTGTGTACCATGGCAACACGTGTACCTGTGTGTACTATAGCAACACGTGTACCTGTGTGTACCATAGCAACACGCGTACCTGTGTGTACCATAGCAACACGTGTACCTGTGTGTACCATAGCAACACGCGTACCTGTGTGTAACCATAGCAACACGTGTACCTGTGTGTATCATAGCAACACGTGTACCTGTGTGTACCATGGCAACACGTGTACCTGTGTGTAACCATAGCAACACGTGTGCCTGTGTGTATCATAGCAACACGTGTACCTGTGTGTACCATGGCAACACGTGTACCTGTGTGTAACCATAGCAACACGTGTACCTGTGTGTACCATAGCAACACGTGTACCTGTGTGTACTATAGCAACACGTGTACCTGTGTGTACCATAGCAACACGTGTACCTGTGTGTACCATAGCAACACGTGTACCTGTGTGTAACCATAGCAACACGTGTACCTGTGTGTACCATAGCAACACGTGTACCTGTGCAGTACGTGTGTTGCTGTACACGTGCAGCCCTTTGTGGACAACGACACGATCACATTACCCACCAATAGAACATTACTTGCGCGTGCTGTGTCCTGAATGCGTTCGAATAAACGCATCCGTCTAAGACTCCTGCAGTAACCGGATTCATAACAAATACCTAAATGATGCCCCTTGGTAGTAATTCAGCAATTAATCCAGGCGAGTCTCAAGACTTTTTTTTTTTCAGTAGGATCCTGCTTTAGGGTGTTTCTCAAATTCCTTTCGAGGCGGCGTTGTGCGAAACTTCCAAACCCGCCAGGCGGTGAGATTGTGAGGACATTGCGGGGCAAACGCGTGGATTCGTGAACCCATCTGTGCGGACTCGTCAGCGTTGCTCCCTCGTCAGTGTGGGGGATGTTCTCCTAGCGTCTCAGCTTCCTCCCACACAAACCACAACACTCGTTCATTTCACCACACATTGGCCAAACGTCAAAATGCATTATCCTCCTGAAAGGACCTGATGTCCGTAGACTAGTCAGTGAATTACGGAGAAAGTAAAAATGTGTTTTTTATATATATCAGAGTTGGCCAACATCGTTCTGAGAATTGGGCGATTGGAAAATCCCAGTCGTCTTCTTGTTCTTTAGTACGGCTGCTGATGTAGATGCAGATCAACGACTACAATGTCACACTCACGTGGTCAAGCCCAGACAACCGCGTCAGGAGCAGCGGAGTTGTAGCGTATCATCATCGTCATCGCTGTGATGTCTCCTTAGTATTTGTGGATCAGGACATTGCGTCGTTATACGTTGTACGGTCTCTGTTCTGGATGACCACAGTCGCACCACTACTGGAGAGTTTTAATTTTCAATGTGTGAATCATCAGGTATCCCCTTCTACTGTCATGGTTTGTGCAGTGGATGCGGTTTAGGGTGGACCATGAGCAGCTTCGTGGAAGATGCAATCCTGAGATCTTCTGCTTTGGGTCTTTCACAACACGCTGATGTTTGCGAGTTCTTTTGAACTCCGTTCAGCTCTCCGTGAATGTGCCCGATCGAGTCAGACCTCGCAAACCAAGCAGAATTTAATTAGTCCCGCGCCTGAATGGGACATTGCCTAGGAATACCAGATGCTGGTATGCTTTGTAATTTTCTATTCAGACGGATGGCATTGACATGTTCAGGAGCTAAATACCGATGTGGAGGTCTGCTGCTGGTCACAAGACGGCTTCAGTAGAGAGAGTTTGTGTTGTGTTTTTCTATTCTTCCTCCATTCAAGGAGCGCAGACCATAGTTGTTTACTAAATGGTCCATAGTTTGGGTTGCGTGGCCACAATCGCACACTGCATCATTTGCGGCTGTGTCTTTCATTTTGCATTAATGAAGGCGTTCACATCGGCCTGTTGATGTTCTAACGATGCGGTTGATGGTTACACCACTGTGTGTTCGAGGAGGAATGTGAAAGTGTCGGTTGGTGGTGGGTTGACCCAAAACACCTTTCTTATTAATATTGGTCGCGAAAGCCTACGTATTAAAACTAAACCAAGAGGTAGTGCGATGTTTGGATCTCGAATTAAGTGGTTATTCTGCTTCCTGTGAGGTAATCAGCAGATATTAGTGCAACAATGGGTTCTTAATTCATAATAAAGGTTTTTGGGTTAGATCGCGTTTATTTATAAATGTGTCGTAACCCTCCACCACCCGACACGGCCAATCAGCAAAGAAAAGTGTAACGTTGACAAAAGACAAATAATTCACTACTTCAGCCCACCGGTGTGTTGAAGAGTTAATCCACATTTACAGTTTGAGTACGACGTTTCGCTGGTAAATACTTCCAGCATCATCGGGCAATTCGCCAGAATGGTAAAGCCCTCGCTTGCTCCCGGTTTTATATAGAGCAGAAGAGTGATGTCATCACTTAACTCATCAGGTGCAGTGATTAGAGGCGGAGGGGGGGGGGTAATGTAATTATATAATCGATTAGTAATCAGTCATTGGTTATGATTAGTAATGAGTTGTAGATTAGTAATTCTTTAAATCAAAATGTAATGTGTATTATTTAATAATACGCTTCCAGGCCGCACTAAGCCGGTAGCTGTCAGAGCGATTAAAGTTATTCTTGTTCCTCTCAATTTCAATGGATTCTCTAATTAGTCTTTGCCAGTAATAATTAGTTTTACACACCACTGCAACATTGTCAAAATCAATTGAGTGTCCTTGTTGACAAGCATGTTCTGCCACTGCCGACAGTTGTGTTTGAGATAATTTAATATTTCTCTGATGTTCTTTTAGTCTTACGCTGATGTTATGTCCCGTCTGCCCAATGTAGCAGCTGCCACATGAACAATTAATCCGATATACACCTTCTGTTGATAGTTTAGGTAATGCGTCTTTAGTGCAAGATACTAGTTTTTGAATTTTGTGTACTGTACCAAATCTTACCGTAATGTTTTGCTTTTGCAAAACGCGGGCTAATTTGTCAGTTACTCCTGAGATATATGGAATTTTTATTGTTTTAACAATCTGGTCGCTTTCAGTAGTATTGCTTTGCGATCGTGATTTGGCATTCAGTGCTCTGTTAATTTGAGCATTATTGTAGCCATTCTGTCGTAGTGCGTCTTTAACGTGTTTAATCTCTCTCACTAGACTCTCACCATCTGACACTGTTTTCGCCCGATGTACGAGCGTCTTGATAAGAGAGGATTTTTGAGCTGGATGATGATGTGATTCTGCATTCAGATAGGCATCAGTGTGCGTTTGCTTTCTGTAAACGCTGTGTGTTATTTTACCGTTTAGGCCATGTCCAAGCAAAATATCTAGGAATGGGAGTGTGTTATTCACCTCCATTTCCATGGTGAACTGGATGGCCGGGTTTTGTGCATTGAGATGATTTAGAAAATCATTAAGTGTATCTTTACCATGTGGCCAGACAACCAAAGTGTCATCCACATACCTAAACCAAAAGGATGGTTTTAATGTGCTCGAGGCAAGTGCTCTTATTTCAAAGTTTTCCATGTACAAATTTGCTATAGCAGGGGATAAAGGAGAACCCATTGCTGCTCCTTCCTTTTGTTTAAAGAAATCCCCTCTCCATAAGAAGTAAGTGTTATTAAGAGTCCAGTGAGAGAGATTGCTGCTCCTTCCTTTTGTTTAAAGAAATCCCC